GAGACCGCTCCCTGTCTCTCTGTATTCTTTCTCCTAGCCTGACCTTCCTTGTCTCTAGAAACCGACTTGACACAGCTGACTATCCTCTTCATACATTGACATTGGAAGCCACCTCCCTCGCCCGCCCGTATGTTTATCGGCTCTTGGATCCGAGGTCATCCGCTTCCTCTTATGTCTCCCTAGGGGTGCTGTTCGCTGACCTTTCGGTGCCCTGATCCTCCTCAACTACACTATAGTGAATGTCTATCTTGAGTGCGGTGCACAGAACATGCAGCACAATGCCTTGGACCACGAGACCGACTCTCCTGTGGCCCCCAACGCAGAGCACCTCGCGCACACCAAGCACCCACAACCCGGCACTTACGCCCGATGCCCCCATAACCACACCCGGAAACCCTTGGTCCCCGGGCTTAATCATGCATATGGGGAACGAACCTGTGATCTGACTCCCTCAGGTCACCCCCCTAATATGGCAAGATGGGCTGTGGGCCATCTTTGTTTGCGCGCCCCTTCTTTGGCCCAACTGATTTTGCAAAATAAACGAAAAGGGGCCCCTTATTTGGGAAGATGAAGTTGCTATGATCGTTCGGTGTTTGCGCCCCCCCTTTGAATATTATCGTAATGGAATTGCCCATGGGTAATTGCAGACAAGTGCCAAAATTTCTTTTTCTCGAATCCTACTATCTCCTCGTGGAAACCTACGTAGTTAAAGTCTATTTAGAATGCGTAGCGGTCCTATGCATTCCGGAATATTAACATTAACTTAAACCGGAAAGGACTTTGCAGAAGCACCTAGGAAGGAGTAGCCAGGAAGGAAGAGGCAAGGGTTGATTCCGAGTGCGCAGGGAAAAGGAGGGGTAAAACACCGTAGTTTCCTCTGTTCCTGCGAAGAAGACGATGGGACTCTCCACACTTCGCTCCCATATGGGGGCCCTTATCAGATCCCGCCCTCCCTGGGGGTGTCTAGTTGGGTCCATTTCGCGTTCGTTGCCGTTTCCTGTCCCGCGCGCCAGCATCAGCCGTTCACCTGCCATTGAGTACCAAGAAAAAACAATAACGAAAGAAATGGCTAGGACAGAAAAGGCAAACTGCGACGGTACCCCAGGCACGTAGCTCGGCAGATGTGCCACGTCGATGACATTTAAACGGGAGACATAAAGACCACAAAAATGTCCCCACCATGGCGGGATTAATTCAAAATGGGAGTGAAATGAACCGACCTACATGTCAGGAACAGACTTTCACCTACCTGAACAGCTGCGAGAGATATCAGTGGCGATTGCTACAACAAGTGTGCCTGGACTCATGAACTAGGCAACTATAAAGGGGGTCGACGCCCTCTCTGCCCCAGTCAAGATGGCCCCGGGGGTCGGCGGTCCACGCCGCCCCCAGTAATGGAGGCGCGTCCATTTCTGCACCTCTGCCGCCACACACCACCGTCGTGCTGCGCACTGAGAACAAGGGGTTATGTATTTTAATAGCATGCAATGGATAGTGTCTGATGCTATTAGAGTGGGGGTGGGGGTGGGGGGGCGGGGAATTTTTGGGTTTTTTATTTCTCGTTTGTTGGATTTTGCGGGCTCGGTTCGGTCGCTCGGCCGCAGCCGGTTAGACCTTGGTGCCTCGGCATCGACGTGGTCGACTAGCGGAGGCCGCCCGCCAGTCGAGTGTTCTCGTCCGCCCGTGTTCGTGAGGGGAAGTGTAAATATCGGCGTTGGGCCGTCCGGTTTGACGTGGCGGCGTTTCCCCGTGTTCCCGGTGCGGCGTGGAGAGGGAGCGTCGATCGAGCGCCGGGCGTGGCCCGGCGTCGCCGCTATCCGGCCGTTTCGCGGCGGGGTCGTGCGTCTCGGCGTGATTCGCGTGCCAGGAGGGCCCGGGCAGCCAGCTCGGGGCGCCGCTGGTCCGTACGGTGGGCGTACGGCCGTGCTCCCTTTGCCGGGTGCTTCTTCTGGCTCGTTCTGATCCTCAACGCGGCGATTAGGCGGGGATGCGCCGGCCCCGTAGCTTCGATGGTGGTGCGTGTCTTTCGCTCCCCTATCAGTTCTCGGCTACTCCCCCTGTCCGCGGGGTCCGCGGGGTGGGGCTCTCGCCAGGGGGGACTGCCTGAGCGGCGGAGCCGTTCGCAGCACCCACGGTACTGAGCGCCCCTTTGCGTTTCTGGTCTGTAGGTTCGACTGACGGTGGCGCGGTCTTGGCCCCCTTAGTCGATTGGGCCCTTCCCCGGCATGTGTCGGGCGAGGCCGCGCGACGTTCCTCGTACGTTCGCTCGCGATCCATGTGGCTCGGGCTTCTTATTCGAGAAGGGGAGCGGTGCATCTCACCCGGGGGTGGGGCGCGCGGGACGCAGCGGCGCGGTTTTTATTCGACGGGGCGGTCGAGCGCGGTCAGAGCCGCGTCGGGGTCGCCGGACCGGTAGCGAGCGAGCGGCTGCGTGTGTTTCCGCGGCGTACGTGGGCCCCCGGTCTCGGTCGGCCGGCCTGTTCGGTTCTTCCGCGGTCGGGAGCGCGGGGCCGCGCGCGTAGCTCGCGCCGTCTTTCTGGGGCCCGCGGCCGTCGGTGGGCGTGCGATACGTGTGTGCCGCGGTCGGGGGGCGGTATCAGTGCGGGGTTTCGGTCGACGCCGCGCCGGTTTATGGGGCGCTTTTCTGCTTTGCGCGGTCGGCTCGGCGGTTTCGGCGGACTGTCCGGGTTAGTATCCGACGCGGCGGGATTTCGGGGCCGCCGCCGCCGTCTCGGGCAGCGGTAGCGGCGGCAGGGCGGCGGGGGCGGGAGATTTTCGAGGGCAGGGGCCGACGAGCGACCGTTCGTCGAGCGGCGTTCGCGGGTCGGCGGTTCGCCGGCCCGCGGGGCGTCGCGCGAGTAGACCGTGGCGGGCGGCGGGAGGCGGCGCGGATCGCGTGAGGGGGATCGGGAACGCCGTCAGGGAGGTGGGCTTAGGTGCTAGTGGACTGAGCATCGAGAGCGTACAGCGGGGCTTTCCTTCCTTCTTTCTATCTGTTTTTTATCTTTATCGATTGCTTGACTCTCCTTTGTTGGTTGTTTTTAAATGGGAGGGGGGGGCTTTTATAAGTTTGGGGCGGCTGCCATATCGTTTCGCATAAGGCTTCTGTGCCCTAAGGGCTGCCCTTGTGGCCTCCCCCCACTGGCGGGGGGGGCCGACGCGCACATCCTAATAGGGATGTCTGCGTGCTCGGGGAACATAGTGTGCGATCATATTTTTGTCATGTTGACGACCCCAGTAGTTGGCGCTATCGTCTGTGAGGCTATGGTATGGAAGATGTGATAATGAGTTCCCCGATCACACTGCGGAAGGTGTCAGGAAAAGGGAGAGAGAGAGTTTCCACGCAAGGGGGGGAGTGCACTGAGTGCGATGTATTAAGACCACTAGAGATTTGTTGGTGCCCAGGTAGACTAAAAAGGAAAGGCAGAAGTCAGCGAATTAGTAACAGTAACCCTCGGAACCTGCTAGACCATCATTCGGAGGTCCCAGCGTGTGTGGGGCCAAAAAAAGGAAGTAACAATCCCCTCTGACCCTCATCGCCGTCGAAACACAGGTACCCTTCCTGTCAAATACTCAGGGCGCGCTCGTAAGCTGGCGCTGGTCATTTGGGGATGGGGGCCCCTAGTGAGGGTGGGGGGGGGGGGGGGGGGGGGGGGGGGGGGGTGGGGGGGGTGCGAGGACGCGACTGGTTTCATGTCGTACCCCCGTGGGGGGGCCAGGTCGCTCCCTCCAGAAATACTACAAGGGCAATATCCAATTTTTGCAAATACTCATACTTTGTCGAGTGTGGCGTTTTGTACTCTTGTGGGACCGTACCGCTGTGGCGTGTGTCTTGTGTTTGCTTGAGTGATTAAAGATAATTAACATCTTTGTCAAATGAAGACTTTCACTGTGACGTGGGGATCAGGAGAAGTGTGAGGTGTAGTGGTTTTCGATTTTCGTCCTGATGCGTGTGATCAGAGATATATCAGAAGGTCGCACGAAGTGTTAGGGTCGAGTGCAGACCTACCCCGCTAAAACGGTATAACTTCTGGTGTGGTAAGGACCTAGAACGGGTGGCTGTCATGGGGGGTGCGCCGCACCTCTCCATGCTCACGGGGCGGGTCGGCCTACATCATTGGGTGGGAGGGGGGGGGGGGGGGTCAGACACGACAGGCTATGTCAGATGCAGGTTGGGTGTATTAATATCCAGTAGCGGCATTGCTGATATCGTGTAGCGGAGTGCCTGGGAGTCATCCCGGATTGGAAAAACGTTCCATCATATCAACCGTAGCTGGTTGCGGCTCTGCTGATCGTCCATTTCGCGTGGGGGGCGTGGCGAACTCGTATCTATTCTGTATAGATAGGGCATTGGCTCTGTTTCCCCTCTACGCTGGGTTTTGTAGTAGACACTCACTTCAGCCCCAGCGTCTGCACTACTGATAGAGTCCTGCCTCACTCATGACCATCCGCTCTGCCGCTTTGTACCGGCACCCTGACCACCGAAGTTCTAGGGCTGACCTCCTGGGAGTATAAACCGGGATCTGCCGCGGTCTTAAACTCTGTACATGAGAATAGGGTTACCGTCCTATCACGAGGCGTCCTGTATTTTGGTGGGGGGGGGGACGGTGGACCGCCGCTGCTGGATGCTTACCCTTCTGGGTAGAAGACCCCTCCCATAGAGTTATTGCACTACTGCTACGCTCCCTACGATGTATAATATTGTCATGTTCTTCCTGCTACAAAAACTGCCCACTGTTGTATGGTATTCTTAGTTGGAGGCCTGTGTTGGTACGTGCTGCCACTGAAGGGTATATGCCACCGGTAGGACCTACTTTGTATGCCTTGGCCTGTGTCGCTTCTCTGGGGCATCAGCTTTCTCCGTCTGTCCCTTATTAATACTATATGGATATTCTGTGGCGAAAGCTAGATATCCATTACATATGCTACGAGCCGACCTCACCAATGTGTACATGAGTTGCCAGAAGCTCAATGTGGTATCGACGTCTGCTTCACAGCTTTTTGCTGTATAAGATGATCCAAATCTGGAATATTTTTGTGTGAATGTAGGTCATGTGTTCTCTTTTGAGGGGGGGTTGGCTGAGGGCTAGTTCAGCCTCTTACTCGCGGGGGTGCCGTGGGTATTGAGCTGTGGTGGGCGGGGGCCTGTGACTTTCGCTAAATATAGATTATGGTACATTGAATGTTTAATATTACGATGAAGAACTACAATCAAAGCTGACTATCCCAAGGGTGTACTGTTAGACTTTTCCAGCCGATTGTGATGTGATTGTCCATCGGGATTGGAAAGATGGGCAGATATCGGAGGGTTGTCAAAAATAGTTGAGGTATAAAGATGGTATAGTGATGCCCGCCCTCCTATCTAAAAGCTGGCAATAAAAAGAACCGTGCATTGGAAATAATGCGTCCCTGCCCAAACACCCTACAAGATAACGGACATCACGAAATGAGAGAGGAAATAGACTACTTTCATTTATATAGAATCGTAATAACCAAGGAGCCCCATTTTTTTCTTTCACAATTGAAGATGTCATTAACAATGGGCAAAATACCAAAATCGGGTTGTCTTGTGTTTGTTGCGGCGCTTGAGGTGGGGTTGCGTGATATCTGCAAAATTGGGGAGCATCAGTTCAACCAAGAGTACACCCATAGACCCAAGAACACATATTTTTGTTTTATTTCAATAACGAAATCCTACCCTACACCACCCACCCCAAACCAGCGCCCTGAACTACGAAAAACCCGCAATAAACCAACCACTCTCCCTCACTCAACATGCCAACAAAACAAGGTCCGACCTTACCACAGTCCACAAAGAAAGCAAAACAAATAACCCTGTCAACGGTGTCCTCGAGCTACAGGCTCCAAACGGGATACAGGCTAAAACGCATGACTGGGAGGAATGACGCATCATCCGTGAAATAAGCGCACTCGAAAATGTGATCGCCAATTCGATCTCCAGGTTGTCATTATCACCAAATTACAGAGGAGCGGTCTACGACTGACGAAAGTAACACAACAAACCAAAGACATAGCGATCTAGGTGATGAATACGTGGTTAAAGTTGCACAAGTAGCTATCATCCGAAAAACGTGTACTGTCGGTAGAGGCCCGACCACAAGTCGACGACATGACGCTGAACATGCAGCCCTTGTGTGCGACCCCGTAAGCGTGCAGCTTAGAACCGGGAGGCAGTAAGAACAGTCAGTCAGCTGAAGAATGCCTATGTCTACAGCTACCTACCGATGCCAAGAATTTTACATGCCAACGCGGAATTGCCCCGAGGTCGGCGATTACTATTTAACAAAAAAAGCAACCGACAATTGACCGCACAAGAGTCGGTATAACAACTCACCCAGAAACCGCATCAACAAATACAATTCTAACCTCTGATGCCCCCCATCTGCTTGTAAACTAAAGCTCACTGTCTTCACAGTAAATTAACCGAGCATTGTGCTCGTTGTGCTTCCACTCCTTGGCATGTTTTCATGAGAACTGAAACATGGCTGCATGCTGAGGTCACTGAAGCCGAGCTAGCTCTGCTCGACATGACACACACGAATCGATCAATCCAGCAGACGAGACGGAACGCCCTTGTACTACCGATCTGACCTGTACATCGCTATCACCGACGATCCAGCAACAGAAGTTGTCTATTCCATCTGGTGCCGCCTACGCCTTAAACGTTGTGATGTGTGCTTACTTACAAGATTCACCATGGAAATGGATAACCGCCTGGCGTCTGCTATGGTGCAAATCCTGACACGGTCGTACAGTCACCTTCTTATGGTGGGTAACGTCACGCTGCACGCTTTCGAAATCCCAGCATCGCTCAACGAACGACTCAAAGCGGATTCGTAAGAAGTACTCACTGACATACCGTTATACAACTACGTCAACGCTTCCACGGTATTCAGAACTGACAATGAACCAGCTGTCTTTGACCTTGTGTTAACCAAGGAGAAACAAATAATTGACGCATTAAACATAAGTTCACCGCTTCGCCGTATCGAGCACGCGAAGCTGCTCTTCCACTAGGTTTACTAAGCGGAATACATATGTGAAAACAATAAGGAAGTTCATGTTGTCACTCATTGCGTTACACTCGCTAACGTCGTTCAACAAACCAATTGGTCATTCCCAGCTGACCGGCCTCCCTACGTCAGCGGGAAGAAACATGTAACCGTATTCACTCGGCTAATGACAACTGTGTCTGCGAACAAAGCTTTTCGTCCGAAGCAAATGTTTTCCTTCCTGAGGAGCAGGACATGAAAATGCAGACTCTAAGGGATTCGAACTGTCGTGCTTATAAAGCTTCCCGGGTGCATAGACCTGAGGTGCCTAGATAACGCAGTGAACTCACTGTGTCAAACTGATCCACTATGTTAAAGTCCTAGACCAACAGGACTTGGTGGCGAAATACACTACAAATCCTACGAAGCTCAACAGGTATGTCATAAGCTCCGGAGTGTGTAGACTGGGATCCCAATTCTACGTGTAGTAGCTAGTCTGGCACTCACTAGACAATATACGGCGAACGTGTTTTGGTAAAAATGTACTCGCACGTTCCAAAGTGAATCATCCCCTCATCCGTTCTTAACAATGCTACCTCAGTTCTCAGCAGTGAGCCACGTATTCTTCGCTGCTGCAAATGTGATGAAAGCTTATTGTCTGCGCGTGCGCAGGTCTCCTAGTGTGAACGACATCAGAGCAAAGATGTCAAAAACAGTCACCATAAGCATCGTTAACTAATTAGATGGGTTCTTTAAACGAAACCTTAAGGAAATGCAGGCTCCGACCACATAGGAACAGGAAATAGTTACTCCTATTTTCAAGAATGGGAATCGTGCTGAGCCCTGGAATTACCGTCCAAGCACATGCTTCCCAGTGTTATACAAATGTAAGGAAGGTATACACGCAGAAACGCTCATGGGATATCTTGACAGCAACAGCAGTGTCACCGCAGCACAAATTCCGAGGAATTCGGTCCTGCACCTCGAATATTTTAATAGCCCTTTCAAGCTGGACGAAGGCAACCGATAACAGACGAGGTATTGACATCGTATACGTGAATTACTCTAATGCATTCGATCGTATACATCACCGCCCTCTCCGTCATAACCTTCAAGCTTATGAAATCGGTGAACCTGTGCTAGATTTAATAAGCAATTTCTTCATTCTACGTCAGCTGAATGCCAGAGTTCGCAGCTTCATCTCAGACCCAACTGAAGTCTATTATGGTGTGCAGAGACCAAGTTGCTTCCTTCGTTTTCATCAGCGACCTTGCTGGTAAGCTCCAGTCGAACTTTCTACTACCGGCTGCAGCTACACTTGGCGAAATGGAATGTCATGAGCATTCTACATCAGTGTACTCATGGATATCGACTAGGAGAAAAGCAGTTTCCCATGATACACAGGGAAATGACCTAGGAATAATCGTGCAAGAGGTCTTAGCTGCTCGAATCAAGCCGAGAAAGCATCGCGAAGAGCCACTAAGAACCCTCTCCACCTACGAATTGCGTTCGGGAAGATCGATACATCCGTCTTTTCACGAATACTGAACGCCTACGGGAAGGTCTACGTGGAATACGCGATCCAGGCTTGGCGACTTTGGCGCAAACACGATGCTTCTGCGCTTGAAGCTCCACAAGATAGGGCGACGAAAATCGTTAGAGGACTGTTTCACCTCTCCTACCAACGCAGACTGCAAGCCCTAGGCTTGTATAGCGGCGAATATCACTGCCCGCGGGCAGACCTTATTTTGGTTAACCAAATACTGACTTACCCCAATCACGTCTGGCGCGATCTATTGCAGGTCAATCATAATACCAGCCTGGGTGGCTACTAGCTCAAA